TTTTCCTCGATCTGTCTCTCAATCCTTTGAAGATACCTAAATATAATTCTTTTGAATTCCTTATCAGGGAGTTCCAGTGCTGCGTCTTCCTCAGGGATGTGTTTTGGGTCTGTATCCTGGTCCCTTGTTTCTCCTGCTTTATCTTGCTTCTTTTTGTGGACTGTGATGTTCTGTTGTCTTGGAGGCATTGTGACGTTTTTGTGTTTATATTTAATTGGTGATTACATGTTGGAGTAACTTGTCCATGATTTTCCTTTTCTTTGTTTTGTTTGTATGTTATGTACGCAAACAGGGTACTATGCTGTGCTCCTCTATTCACTAGCTGGCAGCACTTATATACTCACTACCTGTCTCCTTTCCTGTTGTCGCCTCTTGTATGTCCCTGCTGAGCTTAGTAAACAGAGCCTATTCTTAGGTCCCTGGAATCTGAATGAGAATGCTATCACTTTAAAATCCAAAATGGTTGCCACTTGTAAAGATTCAAAATGGCTGCACCCTTGGTCACTTTAAATATCCAAAATGGCTGCCACTTGTAAAGATTCAAAATGGCTGCACCCTTGGTCACTTTAAATATCCAAAATGGCTGCCATGTGTAAACAATCAAAATGGCTGCACCCTCCAGACAGCAGAAAGTCAATAGCTCAGGTTATCTCCCTCCTTGCTGTTACCCTTCCTAGTCATAGGCCACCAGCGCAGTTGTCCCTGCAGTCCTTGGTGACCAGGGCTGATATTTAGGTCAATTCTCAGGTCCCAAAACCACTTGGAAATATTCAGGCTGTTGGTCCCGTCAGAGCAGCTGACAGTCTGTAGCTCTGACTGTCTCTGTACTCACTGTTTTCATTCAGTTTTTTCCACTAGTTGGTGCCTAATCCACTTCTGTATAGTTCCTTTCAAACTCAGGGCTCCAGGATTATCTTCTGTATCTCTGTCAACTGGTTTTTCTTTTCTTTTTGAAGAGGGTCTGTGTCACTTGTCTGCCTATTCCTCCATCTTATTTAGTCTTTAATCTTCATCAGTAAGTACTTCAAGTCATCTTCACTTTCAGCAAGCAAAGTTGTATTGTCTGCATATTGCAGGTTGTTAATGAGTCTTCCTCCAATCCTTATGCCATGTTTTTCTTCATATGGTCCAGCTTCTCGGATTATTTGCTCAGCATACAGATTGAATAAGTATGGTGAAAGGATACAACCCTGATGCACTCCCTTCTTGATTTTAAACCATGAGGTGTTCCCTTTTCCTGTTTGAACTACAGCCTCTGGGTCTACGTACAGGTTCCTCGTGAGTACAATTAAGTGTTTGGGAATTCCCATTCTTCTCAATGTTAACCACAATTTGTTATGATCCAAACAATCAAATGCTTTTGCATAGTCAATAAAACACAAGTAAACATCTTTCAGGCTTTCTGGTCTTCTTAGCTTTCAGCCAAGATCCAACTGACATCAGCAATGGTATCCCTTGTTCCACATCCTCTTCTGAATCCAGCTAGCATTTCTGGAAGTTTTCTGTCATTATTCTGCTGCAACCATTTTTGAATTTTCTTCAGTTAGATATTACTTGCATGTGATATTAATGAAATTGTTTGATAATTTCCACATTCTGTGGGATCACCTTTCTTTACCATGGGCACAAGTACGGGTCTCTTTCAGTCAATTGGCCAGGTAGCTGTCTTCCAAAGCTCTTGGCATAACTGAGTGAGTGCCTCAAGCGAGCATCTCTTTGTTGAAACATCTCAATGGGTATTCAATCAATTCCTGGAGCCCAGTTCTTTGCCAATTGCTTCAGTGCAGCTTTGACTTCTTCCTTCGATACCACTGATTCTTGATCATAGGCCACCTCCTGAAAGGATGAACATTGACCAATTCTTTTTGGTACACTGACTGTGTATTATTTTCATCTTCTTTTGATGCTTCCTGCATCATTCAATATTTTGCCCACAGAATCTTTCAATATTGCAACTCAAGGCTTGAATTTTTCCTTCAGTTCTTTCACCTTGAGAAATGCTGAGTGTGCTCTTCCTTTTTGGTTTTCTAACTCCAGGCCATTGCACATTTCTTTATAGTAACTGGCTTTGTCTGCTTGAGTTGCTCTTTGAAATCTGTTCAGCTCTTTTATCATTTCTTCCATTTGCTTTAGCTACTCTCCATTCAAGGGCAAGTTTCAGAATCTCTTTTGACATCCATTTTGGTCTTTTCTTCCTTTCTTGTCTTTTTAATGACCTTTTGCTTTCTTCATGGATGATGATCTTGATGTCATCCTACAATTCCTCTGATTTTTGGACACTGGTGTTCAGTGCATTAAATCTGCTCTTTAGATGGTCTCTAAATTCAGGAGGGATATAATCAAGGTCATATTTTGGCTCCTATGGGCTTGTTTTAATTGTCTTCAGCTTCAACTTGAACTTGCATATGACCAGTTGATGGTCTGTTTCACAGTCAGCTCCTGGTCTTGTTTTGGCTGAAGATATTGAGCTTCTCTATCACCTTGCCACAGATGTAGTCAACCTGATTCTTGTGTATGCCACCTGGTGAAGTCCACGTGTATAGCCACCGTTTGCGTTATTGAAAAAAGGTATTAAAATGAGTAAGTCATTGGTCTTGCAAAATTTTATCATGCAATCTCCAGCATTATTTCTATCACCAAGGCCATATTTTCCAATTACTGGTGATTCTTGTTTCCAACTTTTGCATTCTAATCACCAGTGATAATCAACACATCTTGATTGCATGTTCGGTCACTTTCCGACTGCAGAAGTTGGTAAAGGTCTTCAATTTCCTAATCTTTGGCTTTGGTGGCTGGTACATAAATTTGAAAAATAGTAGTATTAACTGGTCTTCCTTATAGACATGGATATTATCCTACCACTGACAGCACTGTACTTCAGCACAGATTTTGATACATTCTTTGTGATGATGAATGCCACATCATTCCTCTTCAATTTGTCATTCCCAGCATAGTAGATCATATGATCATCTGATTCAAAATGGCCAAAATCAGTCCATTTCAGCTCACTAATGCCTCGGATATCAATCTTTATGCATTCTATTTCTTTTTTGACAACTTCCAATTTCCCTAGATGCATACTTCCTACATTCCATGTTCCAATTATTAATGGATGTTTGCAGCTGCTTCTTCTCATCTTGAGTCATGCCACATCAGCAAACAGAGGTCCCGAAAGCTTTACTCCATCCACATCATTAAGGTTGGTTCTACTCTGAGGAGGCAGCTCTTCCCCAGTCATATTTTAAGTGCTTTCTGACCTGAGGGGCTCATTTTCAGGTACTATATCAGATAATGTTTCTGGGCTATTCATAAAGTTTTCCAGTAATATATCAGACAGTGTTTCACTGCTATTCATAAGGTTCTAACTGGCCAATTCTTTGAGAAATGGATGGCCTCTTCCTTCTTTTGACTATATCTTAGCAACCACCACAGTACGATAAACTGATAGACAAGTTCGTTTCCCTTAGTTGTCCCAAACTATTCTGCTCACTTCCTGGTCTCCCTTAGCTGCTCCAAACCTGCTGCACTGCCTCACTTCCTTCCTGGCCTTCCTCAGGCCTCTCCAAACCCACCAAGCGACCTCACTTCCTTCCCTGCCTCTTTAGGCCGCTCCAAACCCTCCACGCTGCCTCACTTCCTCCCATCCTCCCTCAGGCCACTCCACACAAACTGCACTGCCTTGCTTCCTTCCCGGCCTTGCTCAGGCCACTTCAAACCCATGTGCTGCCTCACTTTCTTCCTGGCCTCGCTCTGGCTGCTCCAAATCTGAGGTGCCACCTTGCTTCCTTCCCAGCCTCCATATCAAATATGGGAGGTTAATTTATAGCACAAACTATTACATTCTACTTTTGTTATAAAAAAAATTATGAATCTCCCATTTCCTGAAAAAGTTCTGGTGGTGTAGTGGTTAAGTGCTAGGCTGCTAACCAAAAGGTCAGTGGTTTGAATTCACCAGTGGCTCTACAGGAGAAAGATGTGGTAGTTTGCTTCTTTTAAGATTTCAGTCTTGGAAACCCTATGGGCCAGTTCTGCTCTGTCCCACAGATTCACTATGAGTTGGAATTGACTCTATGACAATGTTTTTTCTTTTCTCACCATTTCCTGAACTAGTAATCCGGGCTATTTTATATTAAACTCAGTATTATGGTATTATGAAACAAAGTTTTGAAATTAAATACTGTGAGCATATTATCTTTGGCATACAACTTAGATTGGGTAACTGTTAAAAAAGGTTTAATTAAATGAAAATAGTCATCGCTGGAACATATTTATTAGAGAATAAAGAGAATATTTAGAGATGTGGAAATTGTCAGAAAACTATAACAGTACCCTACCTCCTCCATCGACGTCTGTTGGAAAATTGCACGAATTGAAAGACAACACTGATGGAAATTCTTTACTAGCTGAGAGTGGACAGAGCTGCTTAGTTGTCCCACCTCTTCATGGGTAGGAGTAATAAAGATCCCTTGCACTGTTTCTAAGGCAACATAGTGGAAAAGTGTGTTCTCAGGACCAGATGTCAACCTTGAAACGAAAAAAAAAGAGGAAAGAAATTTAAGTAAAATTAAAAATATTGCTTTATTTTGAATTTTGTAGCCTTAGTAGAACCTTTTATGTACAATATCATATGAATAATGTAATCAGAGAAGGGAAATTGGACAATACATTCATTCATTCATTCATTCATTTATCTATCTATCTATCTTGGACCAAATATTTAATGCCCTCTTCCTCCTTAACTGAGCTACAGGCTAGGGTATTAGCAATTCTCTTAATGTAGGTAAATATTACATGTTACGTAAAGATGAACACCAATTCATTTGCAAGTTACTTCATCCTCAGCCTAGGGAACCTTATTATGGGGTAGCTCTTATCAGTCCTATAGGGTCACTATATGTCAGAATAGACTCCACAGCAAGTTTTTTTATGATCAGAAAAAGTTCTCCCTCTTATCTCTGATTTATGGCCTTGGGTTTTCTTTTAGACCAGTGATTTGGAGGGAAAGTGAATACCTATAAATTCTTACAGTTCTCCATGAGGTAGTTGGCACTAAAGGGCTAATGCTCATTAATTAGTGCTGGCTGACAACTTTCAGGAAACAAAAATTTAAAAAATCAATATGAAAGAAATTATTACTCAAAAAGGAAAATAATTTCAAATATACATGTTCATCTGAAGGTTTTCACATTTAAGAAAAGATATAGAGCAGAAATTACTCTGAAAGGGAACCATTCCTTTTTTGGGGGTGAGAGGGGGGGAAGTATGATGAAGATTTTTAGACTTTGTTATTTTTAAAAAATTTCTCTTGAAAAATAAACTAAAACACAAAAAGCAAGTTTAACTCTTGAAAACTGTAAACTCACTCAGTGTATATTATCTAAAAGTTTTAAAGTTCTCAAACAAGCAGTCACCTAATGGAATGACAAAAGATTTGGACAAAAATGCAGATAAAATCATATTTCTTTTTCGGAGAGGTCACTTGTGCAGTGGAGAATGGATTCAAGGTAGGCTGGGAGTTGGGAGCCTGTTGCAGTAAAACCAGGTGAGAAAAAAAATGTGTTCATGAATTAGGGGAGTATCAATAAGGTTTAGATGGATTCAAGAACTCTTAGGATAAAGAATGGGTATGACTTAGTTACTGAATGAAAAGTTTTCTATATATTACTTTAAATATGTTACATATTTTACAAAATATGTACATACAAATTAGTATCACATATTACATACTGTTTTATATCATGCTTTTAAAATTAACTACACAGCAGAAACATCATGTAAAGAATGGGAATAAACACACTTTAACTTAATAGGAAAGCCCATAATTTACACAAGTGAATTTGTATGTTTAAACCCCTGACCTTAAGAAAAGAGTTTCCTTTTGCTAGAGATAAGGCCCAAATGACATTTAAAAAATACATAATATTATTTTTATATAACACACAAAAAATTAAGAGAGGTAATAAAATTGCACAGCAGTAGTTTTTGTTAAATGGAAGACTAGGGTTTTATGAAGGTACTTCAAGGTACTACAAGAAGTTTGATTCACATTTCTTTGTTCACATTTTTTTGTTTTAAAAAAGATTTTTTTTTTTAATGAATTCTTTTTGTGTATGACATTGTACTTAATTAAACACCAGCTAAGGCTCAGGCAGACCTACCTGTAACCACATAATAGTTGCACAATAAGAAGTGAATATGTAACATTTCACGCTGCAATAATTAGACGACATAAGCTGCTCAACATGCTTCCCTCACTCAGTTCCTTTTACTTCAGGGTTCTATATTCAACATAAATTTGAGGTTTTGTCTGTTTTTTAAAAAGCTGGTATTATAGGATTAGTTCCTTGGGAACCAGATGCTGTGAGGGAGTTATGCAGGAGGAAGTCTTCAGGAAGTACTCTTGAGAACAACACCTGAGGGGGTAGGCTTAAAGAAAAGTAGAATTGAGCAGAGGGAGAAGTTGAACTGGGCTTCAGTTGCAACTGAGGTCTCAGTAGATTCCATCAGGAACTCTAAATTCCACTGGAAACCTTTCAGAGTTGTTTTGAATTTTGGCAAGGGGCCAAGTTATTGAACTTGCTTATATATCAGTCATTAGATACAGGCTACTCCCAGAGAGAGGGTGTAACCTTCTTTGAGTCAGCAAACTTCCAAGAAGGGGAAAGTAAGTTCAGGGGAAGGATCAGCTGTGAGTCATTGACAGCCATTACTTAGAACACTAGGAATAGGGTAAAAGGGTATCTGGGCAGCACATCACAGCATCCACCAGACAGTCTAGCAATAGTAAGCTCTAACTTAAAAAATTAAATTAGACACACAAAGGGGTGGTTTCCTGTGGAAGAAAGAGAAAGGGGGGCTTTCACATTTTGAAATATTAGTTTTTGTTATTTAAATATGTTCATATGTTCATGTTCCTAAATGTGTAATGAAAAGCATTTGAGAAATGGACTGATGTTGAATAGAACTTCTGTGTTTGGGAATTATATTATACTTTCTCATTATAAGACTT